ACATAAACATTTAATTCAAAAAATCACTTAAGCTCCTAATACACACCAGTTTTCAGAAGCAACTCAAGTTTTATATAGCATTATTCTTCCTTTCTTTTTATGCTTCTTGTAAAAGGCATTGACTGACTAACGGACAACTACAGTATCATGAATTGCAGTACATTTCATTGACAACAGACAAAATGTCTTAATTAATTTGGAAACAATACCACGGAACACACTCAGAAGCCCGCAGAACCTGCACCAGCTCACTTAAAAGGGACTTCAGGAAAATTCCATCAATGTATCTTAAGTTATTCCTTAGCCTTTGTGACTTTTACTATATATAGATTTCTATATTGCTTTTATATAATCTCATACACAACTCACTGAGAACAATGTCCATATTTACCCAGTTTTTAATTAACCACTGCTAAAAAATTGTCCCTAGAATTATCTTCCATTACTGTCTGACATTTATCCGATATATCTGTTTGTGAATATATCTGGTGAGCATTATACAGTAGATATTCACACTTTACTGAATCAAGCCACAGAGGTCACCACTACAGAATATCAGCATGCCGTTCATAGTGTAACTGTTAGATATTGTCGGACTATTAAGGACGAATTATTTTAATGTTTCTATTTCACACACTCTTTGTTACGTCACTAGGGATACACCACTAAGGACACAGGTTTGATAAAACATGTATTAAAAGCATCTAAAGAAGAACTGGGTTTATGCCACACTAAATCTGGATAAACTGAAGTGCTTTAGTACAACTTCTAAAATAATAAAAAAAACCCATGATATAATCAAATTTTATATTTGTATTTGGCAACAGCGAAAATTATTGGAAAAAAAGAAAATCTAACTCTTACACTATGACCTGTCAGGTATAATGTAACTGAGATAACTTCCCATCTCATTTGCAACATCTGAACAATAGAAGAGCTTATTTTCAAGCAATATACATAGGACAGTGTACTCACATACAAAAGTGTATGAGCCACTCAACTGTCTTGATTCTGATCATTTAACACACAAATGATCAGAAACATACCTGAAAAAAAGAATCTGTAAACTCACTGTGTAAATCTATGTACATGGACTAGACCTTGGGGGGAAAAAAAAAAAAAAAAATCCAAATATTCTATTCTATATCTTTGTAACAACAGGACTTTGCTATTTAAGTATAACAGATAACTACACTCAGTTTATGACAGAAAACACTCCTATCTGCAATAGTGATTGGAGAGGTTTATCAGAACACTTAAAATTAGGTCATTTAGACAAGCTGTTAAAGGAGCAAAAGTCAAAGAAGAATCTCTGTCTCTCAGAGAAATGAAGAGTTTGTAACTAGTTGGGCAAAGACACACGCACAAAGGCATACACACAGGAACACCCATGCACATCAACACACACTCTCTTCAGATCCACAGTAAACAAGTCCAAACTTCCTTGACTAATGTGTTATGAGCCATCTCAAAAAAAAAAAAAAAAAAAAAATTTTTTAAACCACTTTCCATAAATGCAATGAATTTCAGGAGAAGTAACAAAGCAATACACCTATTAACTCATGTTACCACCATAATTTGGACTGTAAAATGGCAAACAACTTTGACATGCTTCGTGACAAGTACATTTAAACAGCTCCTATGCTTTGGGCAGGGGAATGACTCGTCCCAGTCATGCTCTCTGTTAGCAAGTGACTACATAGATATTTCTGATGGAGGAAAAGAAAAGCTATCTGCTCCAGGGAATCACCTGATATTTGATTTATTTGGCAGCAGTGGGAATGACAGAGAACTTGGGCATAATTTCCAGAGAGGAGAGGGCTTTGTCAATTTGTCACACTAGCAGAGTCCCAGTAGCTAGGAAAGGCTTGAATGAGAATGCTTTACTCACTCATTCACATTGCCAAGGGCAACAGGGTTCCCTCTATACCCCTTAATATGTTATCTCAAAACAGCATGGGTTTTCACACATGTTCTCACCTAATGCTACATAAACATTACTTTTATTAATTTCTCACACCTTAGGAAGGGATAACAAACAAATAATAAAGTCATCTGAAAAACAACCATTACCAGGGCAGGAAACTAAGAAATAGCAGAATTGCATATTATACACGTGTAACAAGTGTTTTGCTTCTCCCTTCCATACACAACACACAAGTAGATACACACACTGAATATCCAGAGTCAAATCCAGAAGAAAGCCACCAGAAAACTAGAGAAAGAATTCCAAGCATTATTACAGAAACCATACATCAAAGATTTCGTAACAAAAACACAGAAGCAGGGTAGCAGTGGAAGAAAAAACTGTGTGTATTTATATATTTATATTCACACTGAATTTACAAATCAGGGGAAAAATAGGAAAGGAAATTACACTGTATTAGTAACACTCTCCTGTAAATGGTATCACTGTGCATAAAGACCACACAAAAAACTGGAACTTACTTGAAATAAGTACAGAAGACATACTACTATTACTATGACTGCTACATCAACAGTGATGACAATGAAAGTGTTCTTTCCCTCTCCTCTCTGGAAGTTGTTCTTAAGGTTTTTGCCATTCCCATTGCTGATAAATTAATCAGATATGATAAATTTGGAACAGAAAGTGATAGTGAAAACCTTTTCATCAAAGTTTATAAATATGCCCACAAGTTTGCTTCTCCCTAGAAACAAATACAGGTATCATTTTTATTCATTCCCAAGCTTCTAGCCCTTCTATGTGAGCAGAGAGCCTTAAAATGATGCACAAAACCATGCAGTAACTTAGATCTGGAAGAACAACAAAAATTAAAAAAAAAAAAATAAATCAAAATCCAAGTCAACAAAAAATGGGGGACAAAGGGAAAGATTACCTTTAAGGAAGCAAAAAATCAATTTTTCTGGACTTTTAGGAGTTAATTCTCCTTCTCTTTCAAAAAAATACTGTAGAATACTTTTGGATCAAAAGAGATTTAATCTTATTTTATACTTCACCAAGAAAGAGGTATCTCTGAGAATCTAAAATATCCTAGAGCACTTCTGTCTACAGACTCAGAAATAAGAATATGGAGATCAACAGTTCCAAAGGAAGATTCAGCCACACAAGCCTGGGAATCACTCACTGGCAATTCAAATTTCCAGAAAGCATTCTGATCTGGAGAAGATCCTGATAGATCAACAATTTCCCTGGAAGAGTTCTAAAAGTCTGCTGCAGTCCCAGTTTGTATATACAAAGAGTGTTTACGCAGCAGTAAAAGCTGTAAGTAATAAATACTGAAGGCTTACATCACTGAAGTACTCTGTACCTAATAAACGGTTCCTTTCTCAGTATATTGTGAAACAACAATTGATTCCTTCTCCATGAGGTGAAGTAAGTTATAATGGAGAGGAGACAGCAGCAACTAATATGATTGTTCAAGAGCAAGGAGAAGCTGGAGCTTCCAAGACAGAAAAGTAGTCCATTTTTTTTTCCCCCATAAAAGATTCCCTATCACCAAGTAAAAAGAACACTTCTGCATTGTCTCACTTTTGTGGTTTCCATTTTCGGCCCCCACTTTCATTTAGCACTTTATTTTACCTGTTGGAATTAAGTGCAATAGGGTCCTACTAGTATAAGAACGGGTCACAGCAGCAGAAATTGCCATTTCACGTAGCACACACAGGCTATCTACGAATAGGCAAAGCTCCTCGCTTCATCACTGAGAAAGATTGTTCAGTCAAGGCAATATCTTAGAAAGTGAAAGAATGAAGGACATTCATTTAAAGCTCCAGTCTGGGCTAAAAGCACCTTCTCCTAAAGGCTGAGGAATCTCCTAAACTATGTAATATAGATAATTCTAAAAAGTGGAGTGGAGCAAAGGGATGTTGGAAAGAATACTTCACTGTGATTATCCATTTCCCTCCCCTATGAAATGCCCCCAGGCTTAAAAGTGCTAATGACACTTCATCACACCTAAACAATTTACATAAGCAGCAGCAGCTGCCATCACCACTCTCCAGACTTTAATTCCCAGAAATAAATATTCCCAGACTCCCTGAAATCAGCCTTGTAATTTCCTACTTTGGGCACTTAGCATGTTTTATTTTAGAGACTTATCCTTTTAAAGTTGTATCAACTTTAGAGGAGACGTTTTCTGGAACATTATTTGTGATGAATGCAAATTAAAGATAGTATGGAAAGAAGAGGGAATACACACATCAACAGCAGTTTTTTCATGCTAGTTACACAACAAAACACTCTTAGTCATGCAAGGTAAAAATAATGACACACAAGATGACAGATGAAAAGGATCTTATCCTCTTCCCAAAAATTAATGCATGAACACTACTTGCTTAAAAGTCCAAATTGGTTGTCATACTAGATTTGTGTAAAGCTTTAGGAAAGAATGGTGTGAGGGCTCTTTATAGAAAATTACACCAAGTGAAGACTATTTCACTAATTAACACCCCTTCCCAAAGAAATCCTTCTCTCCTTTTAAAATAAGCTTCTTTTAAGCAGAGAAAAGACCCCAAACATTTGCAGAACCCCGACTTCAACATCTGTTGGTATTCCCTACACACACAAGTGTGCTTGTGTGTGCATGTTTAGCAGAAGAGGTCATCAAGGGCTTGCTTGGTTTATTCATCATTTTAAGGCTCTCCTATTTGCAAAGCTTCTGTTAATGTCAGTGAAATCTAACCTAGACAGAAGTTTCAGAGGTCAGATATTTGGCATGCTACATTTAGAAACCCAAGTACAAAGTTGACGAGGACGCTTCAAACACAGGGGATTACAGCGGAAATAGGTCTCCTTATACCAAACTGGCTATTGAACAGATCCAAGGAAGAACACACTGAGACTGCCTGATGCTATTAAAGCTCATATTCTTGCTTTATTTTTTCTACTGACTAAATCAATTCTCCCATTTGGCAAAGCCCAGCACAGAAATAACATTTTATTTTTAATACAACAGAAAAGGAATAGACGTGAGACATAAAATCATGTACTACATGACCTATAAAAAGCAGATACTTACAGTTCGTAGGAACTGTATTTCATCTTCCCCTCCTTCACCCCCTTCAGCCATGGCTCTTGAGGAGTCAGCTCTGCTGAGACTCTGATCGCCTCCACCGTCAGCTCACTGCGCTAGGTACAGCTCCTCTTCTCCTATCAGTATTAGCATATAGCTAATCCACAGCCATATAGGGAGCTCAGCTAACTCCACTGCACTGCAGACTGTCAGTCAACCCCCTCACTGCCAGAGCCAACTGCGCTGCTTTTCCAGCTCCTAGCAAGCAATTCTTTTCCTTTTCTCTCTCCCCTGGAGGCAAAAAAAAAAAACCCTACTGTTAAGGTATTGTAGGAAGCATTATATGCACCACTAGGTGTTGATTTCCACACACACACCCCCCAGATACTGTCTGGTCAAAACAGCAATAATGGTGAAGTGTTAATGAAAGCAGAGCTTGCGCTTCCATTTTCACAGATCAGGGTACCCAATTTTGCACTGAAATCTACAAAATTCAGCAACTCTGAACCTACTGATTTGTGCAGCAGAAGGATGTAAATCAGATGATCACAGGACAAGCTGATTTTGACAGCAGATATTTTCAGCTTGCTTACAATAACTTCCGTTTCTTGCTTCTCTGCATAAGCAGCTGCAAATCTGATTTCCAAGACGACTTAATGATCTGAACCTACCATGTGTAGTTATTTGTGCTACCCTTATAAATGGTATTTATACATGTATCTCAAGGACTGGAAGGTTTTTATTTGCACTTTTGCAGAACTGCATTGGAATATGTATAGAGGATGGTACAAATTTATTTCAAAACCTATAAATCACAGTTATGTTAAAATAAAATTTAAAATAACTTTAAATTCCAGTTAACCAACGTCAAAATTTGTGATTAAAGAAAATTGCTAGTTTTTACTTCGGTACTAGAAAACGAACAGGGAGAAAAATGGATCAACTCTAGAAAATTTACTTAAGTGAAGGGAGAAAAAGAGAAAGGACACAAGGTAACAGGAGAAGAGAGCACAGGGGAGGCTTTAACCAGTCAGTTCACTATATAATCTTGCATTTTGTGGTAGGGTTGCAACCACAGACTGGGTCATACATTCTACACTTGTGAAGCACTACACAAACTTGTGCTGTCTGTATTTACATCGATACATACTGTCACAGACTACCATACATATACAGACTTTTCCACAGTAAAAGCATGTTTTTGTTTTACAAATGAAAAACATAGGCATGAGAATAAGGGACGAATTTTCTTAGGGTCACAAGGACAAGTGTACCACAGTGAAAACTGAAACTAGATTCTGTATGTCCACAAGCTAATACGTTTAGACACAACTGGACACGGAACCCAATACACACTGCCCTCCCCACCCCTCATCTCCCAAAAATAATAGTATTCTGATTTTTCGTTAAACATAGACAAGAGCCAAACGATGAGATGCCAAATAGTTTCTCTCCTTGAAGTGCAAAATCCTTTGAAAAATTTTTCTGTTTCACTCCCTCTTAGCACTATGAGAAACTCTGTCCAAAATATCATAACAAACCCATTGCTCAGCAACAGGCAATTTCAGGCCAAAAGCAACTCAGAACCCTCTTGCTGACATTCATACAAGCTGGCCCTGCCATTCCATCCACTCCCCCTTTCCCATCCTGTATTTTTTGTTGGTTGCTGTGAGCAAGAAAAAGATAGCTCTCTGCAAGACAAAGGCAATGCAACAGAAAACTATTTCTCCGAAGTGCCAAAAAACTGATTTGGTTGGTGTTCTGAACATCCAGGTTTGTGTCTGGGTTTTTTTTGTGGTGTTTTTTTACTAAGCCATCTTTGAATGAGTGTTTTATGGCTTTCCTCATCAATGCAAAGAACAAAACTTAACAGATCTTCCTCTATGGAATATAGTTAATAAATAAATAAATAAATAAATAAATAAATAAATAAACGAACAAACAAACAAATAAATAAATAAATAAATAAATAAATAAGAATTGGAGGAGTGGGGAAAACTTGCCTGAAGTCAAAGCATGCCACTTAGTGCTTTTACTGAAAAACAGATCAGGCAGAGAGGCCTAGACGATACATGCTTATCCATACATTTATATTTAGAATGGATTTGATACAGATATTGCGTGGCAAAACCTGCACATATAAGGACAGCTTTTCTGTAATGCCTTACATGAAACAACCTTTCAAGCATACTACTGTACTTTGAAAGATTGTAAACAAGAAATACCTACAAACCAGAGAAAATAAGCACAAATCATAAATCTCATACAAAGTACAAGCATTCTATTTCCTTCACAAATAGAAATCAATGTCATGCAGTACATCTGCTAGTCAAGTTTTATTTCAGTTACTGCAGTAAGATTTTCAGATAGTAAGTTCTGAACATGCAGAGCTGAGAAAAATCCATCTGAATCAAATGGAAAGGGGGGAAGTAACTTTTCAAGTGTTTTTCTCATATATTGGAGTATTCCATCAAAATGCTTCCTGTGAAATTTTGAGACACTTCTTGAGTAAAATATTATATTTACATCAGTTAATGCAGATAGATAGCTATGCCTGCAACTTCTAATAAAGCAGCTACAGAGGTTAACATTTTTTCTTTTAAACACATATATCAACACACCAGGATATCACTTTGCACTTTTAAACACAAGACAAAGCATATGGAAAAAGGAATATTGGTGATAGCTCTAGTATAGAGTTCATATAAAGCATCGAATATTCCGATTCATGTCAAACTTCACTAGCAGGTTTGGTTTTCCTTTTTGTAAGTCCTTCTATTTTTCTTTGACACCCAGCTTTACAAAGTAACTTGTGCATTGTTTTGGGAAACAATTTCCTTCTCCAATAAGCAAAATATTTTGGTTAGATTTCATCTTTTTAAAATTTTCAAGTGAACTGCAAAACCATTTCATAACACTTTTATTCATTAGAGTTTTGTTCTGCTTAGTATTATGCCTGTATGTTTAACGAGAAAAATATTCAGCTGCTACAGCATAATGACATGTCCATCTCCTGAAGGCATAGGTAGTTTTCTTTCAGAACTTCCCCACTGCTCTGCAATTGAAACTTGGCTGTTAATGGAACTGCACCTAATCCGAAGTCTCAGTTACATGAAGTAAAATGTCTTGCATTTCTTAACATTAACTTGTCTTGAAAAAAATTATTTATTTTTTTTTAATTTACTGAAGCTAATATTAAAAGAAAATTACATCAGGTCACTCCAGTAAATCAATCCAAAATAATCATATATCACACAGAGTGTGTGTGTGTGTGTATACAATATACAGTGACTCTGCTTTCCTGGAGATGACTCAGGTGCAGCACTGCACTGTGAAAGCCAAACAGGTCAAAATCTGAATTGGGACCACTGTGTATGTCGTGACATCCTATTCATGCCAATCAATTGTAAATCCATAATTTTTCATTTCTGCTGAATATATTTTGGAGAGACTCTATGGTATTTTAAAGCTATCAAAACAACTCATCTACAAAACAAATTTAAGGAAAATTTCCTTTCTCTTTTCAGCACAAACAAGCTGCCTGCTTACTCTCCAACATAATATTCCCTCTTACTAAGGGAATCAGGCTGATTGACTATTCACACAAGTTCCTGATTCTAGGTTAGCTTCTTGCAGGCTTCAATGCTGCTGCCACCAAACAGTAACTCAGAATTTTTATAGTGGCAGTAGCCAGGCAATAAAATAGTAACATGAATTTTACAAAAGGAACTAAACAATCAACCTGTTGTAACCAAGGAATACCTGAATCTCAACCACTTTTTGTTGTGTGTATTTTACCCTTCTGAAGATTGACTTATACCACCAAAGATGGATCAAATACCTAAAAGAAGATATTTACAAAACTTGTAATGGTAAGTACTTGGATGTTAGCATTTTCTGAAGCAGGGGCAATATCAGTTACCTAAGTGTCTCTTGGGTGAGGAGCTGAAATCATATTCTCCACAGATAATTACAGGCCTAAGGGCTAAAATTTGGATGTTGCTTAAAAGACTCACATGTTTCTTTGTCCCTTATGCTCCACTTAAGTACAAAACTATGTATAAATAATTTTTTTTTAAAAAAGTCGTTAAAAGAAACACATTGCTTTCTTCACAAAAACTTCACAAAAGTATTCAAATTCATTATGTTGGCTATTTTCAGCCCATGCATTAAGGCAGTCAACTACTTGAACTAAGTACCTAGTGTTTTTCAACTGGACAAGTTAGCATTCCATTCACAAGAGAAAACTAATCCTGTGAATTGCACTTAAGTTTTAGTTTGAGGTTTGGGTTGGGTTTTTTTATTATTATTATTTATTTATTCTAGATTAATTAAATTACAGTTTACAGTGGAAAATGTAGAATCTTCATTTAGGAAAACCATCAGAAGATTACTAGCTTGAATAATTTAAAGAGACAATGGATTTATTGATTTAGATGTATTTCCATACATATTTTCCTATCCTTTTAAAAATTACTTTTGTTGGGGCTTTACGCATATCCTATGTCAATGCTTTGCTATATAGAACAAAGTTTCATTTTGTTTTTAAAAGTTGAGACAATCTTTGATGCAATTCTTTATGAACACATAAAGAATAAAGTCTATTATATTGTTAGAGAATCCATAACATAGTATCAGTACTGCTTGTAAGGTCTAATTCAGCGATTCCAACACAAACTGAGGAAAGAACAGTATCGCAGAACAGAAGCTCAAAACAAAACGATCAAAAGTTTATGTTAGATTGCCATCTTGTGGTATGTTTCAAAAATAAAAGTCTGTGACAAGTTGGTAAGCATAACCATTCACATTACTTTAACCTGACATTGAGAGTCTCATTTCTAATTTTATTATAGATTACGCAAAACAATTCTTACTACAGTCAAAGTTCACAGCACCGTAGACATTGCATCTTCGGTTTCCTTCAAAAGAAGAAAAAAAAATATGCTCACAAGTTTCTTCCTAAGCATAAAATACATGAGTAGGACTTTCTGTTATTCCCAAAACCACAGTTACTCCAATCCCAGTTGACTTAAGTCTGCCAAAACAAAGATTTTCTACATCTCTCCAAACTCTCCAGGTCTAGATGGCCCAAGCAGAGGTCAACAAACACTACCAGACTTTGGCC